CAGTTTAATTGAATCAATAGACGTTGTTAATAATCTTTATCTATTTCTGGGGTGCGCTTTAGACTTACCTCACCGTGGCGCATCCTGGACAACGTATACCCTTACGGAAAAAGTTTATTAACCGGCAGTTGACTTCTCACTTCAAACTACCATCACTCCACTGTATGTCATATTCTATAACTTCCACAGTACTCATCTCACCTTTTCTCTTCCTTTGTGTCTGTCTGTCTCTTCTACATCTGTGAATCACTCTTTTGTTCCCAATCTCGACTGTTTTTGACTTTAATATTCCTCGCTCTGTGAATCCCGAAGTCAGCTAAATAGCTAATGATGGCTAATCAAGACGCCTGCCATTTGAAATAATGATTATTATCCATTTCTTTCTGACCCCAATTTGTTAATCTACTCTAAAGGAGATTTAATGACAATTTAATTTCAAATGAATACAACTATCATTGTCGGTATCGAAATATGTATGCATTGGTGCTTAAGACAGATATAAGCAAGATTGAAGCTCTGTGAAATATTATGTCGCAAGTTTTAGCGCGACCCACCGATGCTTATTTTAAGTTATATAAATTTTATGCCTTTAAGTCAAAAGCGAGTGTTTTGAGGTTTAAAGCCTCGTTAAGCACGAAATCCATAGCCATAAAATCGGCAGGAAAGGGCAATAAGCGAATAATTGAATTAAGCGGGAATATTAATAAAACAAGATCGTCTTAACCAATACAATTCAAAGTAACAAAACTTCTAAATAGAGACTGGGGAATGAGTTTTGGACAAAAAGAAGTTAAAGTGTTAGAAATACATTTATTTATTTATTTCAAATGGCAGGCGTTTTGATAGTTATCATTAGCCCTTTAACTGACTTCGGGTTTCACAGGGGGAAGTAACATCAAAGCAACGGAAAGTCGAGAGGTGGGGAACAGTAGAGTGATTTACAGATGTGAAGAGACAGACATAAAGGTAGAGAAAAGGTAGGATGAGTACTGCGCCAGAAGTCAATCGCCAGTTAATAGACTTTTTTGCCGTATGAGTATACATTGCCCAGGGTGCACCACGTGGAGGTAAGTCTATCACGCACCCCGTGTTAGAAATACATAGAATTCAGGAAACGAATTTACATAGCAAATGAAGTTTCACCATTTTTAATCTTTTATTGATTAATCACAACAAAGTGAAAGAGTACAGATAGAGAAGAGCAAATAAAAGTCTGAAAGTAATAGTACCCTCTGCCTTCTCTACCCGCTAAATAAATTGATGGTTCCGTGGTCTCAATTTGATATTTCAATAAATTTAGGATAATTCCTTGGTCCTTTTTGGGGACATTATTGTTGAAATTTTTAGGCATTAATAGGAAGAAGGTTGAGGCAATTTGAGTTAAACTGGAAGTATCTTAGAAGCACAGCTAATCGCAAAAAGAAGTATTAAAAAGGAGGAGAAATCGATTTACTCCTTAAAGACTGAGGAAAGAGTCCTGCAAAGAAAGACAAGAGAAAATAATGAATTGTGGAAGAGTCCCAGAATCACTAAAAGCCTTCCTTTACCTATTCCTCCTTTAAGGAATTAATTTTGTTATTACACTTGGGCTGTGCGATAGACTTACCTCCCTGTGGTGTAGCCTACACAGCGTATACTCCATAAACTGGCAGTTGACATCTGACTTCAAACTACCATGACCCGACTCTCCGCAGTACTCACCTTACCTTTTCTCTGCCTTGGTTTTGTCTATCTCGTTTTCATCTGTGAATCACTCTTCTATTCCCCTCTCTGACTTTTCTCACTTTGATATCCCTTCCCTCTGTGAAGCCCGAATTTAACTAAATGGTTAATGATAATTGTCATAAAGCCTGCAGTTTTATTTAAATAAATATTATTACGCTTTTTAATCGCCTTCCCTCTGTTATATTGAAGCTGCAAACAGAGGAAATACTGTGTTATGATCATTTGTCCTCCAAATCATTGAGCAAAAGCGTTCAAAAAGCATTTAATATCCTAGGTAAGCACTTACAGAAAACCAAGAACGAATTATGAACATTAAAATTTGAACCTTGAGCCACTCAGTTAGTAAATATTGTTGTCGTTTATTGTGATTCAGATCCCCATCTCTCTATCATTTAATAAGCCTCCTCTTAACAGCTTTCACTTGCTTCTAAAATCAAAAAGTGTGAAAGATTTGTGTGCTCTTGTGAATCATCATAGCAATGTCAGTAAAGAGAATAACCTTCTTATACTACCAAAATGCTCATCATGCTCTCGCCCATAATTCCAATTTACCTTTTTTCATACATCTTAACAGTTTTAAAATTTTCAGAATGGAGAACGGTTACATTTTTTGTGGTATTTATACATGCGTGGATAGACGTAAGCGGATTGTTTCGTCACTATTTGTGCATGGACCACGCTGGTGACTTCCTATAGTTGATTGATTTGTTTAATTTGATTCTACGAGTAACGAGATTTCTACTAATTGCTTAATTTCACAATAAGTGATCAAAATGTATTAAATAGGAAACGTGTTTTAAATTATATGTACATCGAAATAACAGCCTCGGAAATTTCAACATCTAGGAGCGCGAACAGCTAACTGGGAACCCCAGACATCAGATGTTTGAGTGTAGTAATGGAGAAGTTTCATTATGGGGGTAATTGTAAGGGAAGTGTTATGATCTATGAAAACATCGTAAAGAACTGTCAAACAAGGCTCAAATCAGAATGCACGGGTGCGGTCCAAATTACAACTAAAGCACTAATTAGTAGCTTCACTTTTTCAGTAAAATAATTAATATTTAATTTGTCTGGCTTTCAAAGCTGGTCATAATCTTTTTGAATGACTCCGAACATAGTAAAGAGGTGAGATAGTCCGCAGATTGGTGAGATAAATAAATTTCCATGTGACATCTTAGAAGAAAGCCAACTTCCAACATTGTGTGTCGGTAGTTCTATTTTTAACCGCATTGTCTAACTTTCTATTTAGACCTATTAATACTATTTTTTAACTACTTTGAAAGCATACTTTGGAGGTATTGAATGGTCAACTCAATGAGCCAGTCAGACTAATTTTGTCAGTCAGACAATCAGGGCTACCGAAGCGGGTTAGTTACTACCCGCAACTTTCACGTGCTATCTTGCGTCACTATATCACGCCCTGACGTCTCAGTGCCTTCTCTCTCACCACCGCCCAGCCAACACGCTAAAGTCTTATCAATTTGGGCGCATTCTCTCTTGACGGCAATGCGCGTATTGACAACTCCTTAATCTTGTTCAAATTACTTACCCCCCCCCCCAAATCTATTACAAAATCATTAGGATCTTTCACGTACGTATTCATATTGCTTTACTAAATATACGGTTACATTCAATGAGCAATATCACTTATCGCCAACCAGTATTGTCATATTGGTTATTTGAGAACAGAGGTCAGACCTCTCCCAACACTTTTGTTGACGAGGATGACATTATTATTTCAGCCTGAATGAAAAACGTTAATATGACTTATAATTTTACTGAAATCATATTCTAGCATACAGTTATACCAACTAAGACATTGACTGTACACGGAAATGCAGATGAATATGATGGGAATATTGGATGGGTCCGTTTGAAGTGGGATAAAATGGTTTGTGTCAGCAATAATGAGCATTTCAGCCATCACTAAGGTAATAGACAAGTATTGCATGGAAAATAGACACTATGGAACATTAGTCTTAGGTGGGATGCAATAAAGATTAACTGCATTTGGTGAGGGGCCATTGATCAGGGTTAAACTGTGAAAAGGACTTTAGGCCACAACTGTGAATAGATACATTGCCAGAGACGAAATTCCACAGGATATAGGCAAGGTAACCATCCAAGCGAAGGCAATTCCAACAAAGAGTTTCCAGTTGACACTCTTCTTTTCACGAAAGAAGCCGACGAAGACCACGGAACCGACTAGACAGTGAGTGGTCGAGATGGGAAGACCGGCTTTACTTGCAATCAACACAGTTATAGCAGCACCCAATTCAATGCACATTCCGCTAAAAAAATCACATGATTTAATGAATAAACTCTAATGGTCTTTTAAAGATGGTTGGGGAAGGATTTTGAGCATAGGACCTACGTGGTTGGTGTGATTTCGGTGAGATCATGACCGATCGTCTGCATAACCTTTCGGCCCCAGACCCAAAGACCGACTGAAATGCCAAGACCACCGTAGAAGAGAATCCAAACTTTTGGCATTGCAGTCATCAGAACATCACCACTTGTAGCAACAATCCACAGACCCATAACAGGTCCAATAGCGTTAGCCACATCATTACCACCGTGGACGAAAGAGCCGAAGGTGGCAGTGAGAATTTGTGCGAATGCAAACACCTCAGCCTCTTCTGGTCTGTCGCACACTTGGCCATCACGACCAATCTATAAAAGGAACAACTTGAAGCTAACCACAGTTTTATACTACTCTAGTATACATCAATATTGGCTTGTTTGCCAACATCTATGTGTACTCTTTAGGTTACAAAGTGTATCAATTT